CTCTGTTTAGTCCTAGGCGCCTTCCGATCCTCGCCAGTTGTGAGCCTATACATTGAATCAATCTACCGTCCCTTTCTCGACGTCGCACTCTTTTGTCTCTAAGGAGCTATACTCGTTTTCATCAATTTTCTCTCTCCAAGCTAACTGTCCCTCGATCCCTTCTACATAACTTCTCCTCTCCACGTTTACCTACCCCATATCCTGTTCGGATGCACGCTTTGCTTTCCTCTTCACCCATTCCTCAACTCCGATCCATTGCTCTTTCTGCCCAGTCTTTCCCTCCCTGGTTAATACCTTCCTCCTGTAATTGCTCTTCTATTTTCCTGACCCCCCCCCCCAAGCAATCATCCCTCTAGACACTCATTCAGTACCCGTGTCTATACAGACTACTCCAAATCCATCTCGGGTACTGGTTTTGCTGTAGTCTTTCCTTCTCACACATACAACGTTCCCCTTCCTCCTGAATCGAGCGTTGAATCGTTCCCCTTCCTCCTGAAACTATATGCTATCTTCTTCGCTTTACAACGTATGTCTTCCATCTCTTCCTTATTCTTCACCATCATCACTGACCCACGCAACTCACTGTCACTCATACAGTCCATACACCCTGCCAACCCTATAGTCAGTAAAATACTAGATTAGTTGTTTTATCTGTCTACACGGCAGAAAACAGATAAATTTTGCTGGATACACATCCATGTCGGAATCCTCGGCAATGAAAAAAAAAAGTACTGGCATGATCTACCCCCTTGTCCACAACCCGCCAACCCTGCTTTTCACTCATCCTAGCCATTGACTACTACCCTCACTCCAAAACTTTCCTCTGTAACCGTTGGTAATCTTTCTGGTCAGGCCTGACCACCAATAAACTACAAACCATACCACCAGAACAGACACTGGGAAACTGTCCTTACGAATAGGTCACACCCGCTTCTCACACTCGTACCTCATGCCCTTTCAATCCCACCTCTTTACTCCTCGTGCAATGTTCCTCCCTCAGTCCTGCTATTCTGCCCTCGCTTTAGTGAGGCCCGTACCCTCGCCTTTCCTCACTTGACCTCTCTTCCCTGGCCCTCAAACTGTCGGGACATCCTCACGTAATCCACAAGCTTTTCAATTAACAACCTATTTTCCTTCCTTAGATGCATTTATTTGATCTAATCACCTGTATCCTACCCTCCCCCCTTCTATTAATCGCTATCCTACCCCGGCTTTGCTTCCTCTCTTTCCACACTGCAACTACCATACTACCTTATAAAATAATTTTGTTCTAATAAAGAACTCCTTTAAATCACTTTCACCCTTTCATATTTGATGCATTTTTTAAATATACATACTTCGCTGTGTATCTGTATTAATGGTAATCTTACTGGTACCAATAATGGTATTCCTAATACACTCCGGTGAGAAAGTGATCAATGCTTTGTTAGAAGTTGTTGACGATGGGGGAAGATTAGACAGAGAGACTCAAGTGTATGCGGTAATTAAACTATTATACGGCGATCATGATGTTTGCTTTCAAGTGTCTATTTTACAGAATTATTTAAGTATGATGTCTGGCAATTGTTCACAGTGCAAACAAATTATGTACGTATATTTTCATCTTTGGCACAAACAGCGAACTAGTTCCATTTGAAAATTAAAACAAATATTTAGACTGAAATTGAATAAAAAATTATAGCAATAAATTAAATATGATGAACAATTAATAAAATATAATGATTATCTGTAAACATTATTAAAAAAGTTTCAGGAAATATTTAACCAGGGAAATATGGAATACACACCAGGCGTAAGTGTATGTACACTTGTGCCTTCATTTATTTAGGTAAATATATTTGAATGTGATTTGTGTATATGGGTATTTTCATATTTGCTTAAATGTATGTGTGTGTGTGTGTGTGAGAGAGAGAGAGAGAGAGAGAGAGAGAGAGAGAGAGAGAGAGAGAGAGAGAGAGAGAGAGAGAGAGAGAGAGAGAGAGAGAGAGAGAGAGATACAGAGACAGAGAGACAGAGAAAGAGAGAGAGAGAGGGAGAGAATGCATAATAATTGGATGGCAGTGGTCAATGGCCTGAGGCTCATTCTGACATGAAAAAAGAATACAGTACCCACTATATAAGGAAGATGAAGGATCCTTGATATCTTCAATTATAATCTACTGATGATATAACAAACTGCACCAAAGAGCATTACTTACTTGCAATCTGACTTCAAAAGATATAGTAACAACATATTGCCTATTGAACAATTAGTATCAGTGATAAAATTTACAAGTCAATTTGGAAGCATATGCACTGAAGAAGACAAATGCTATTTTCTTCTGAACCCTGTAATAATAGCTGGCCAACACCCATTCTTTTCCAACCTGAGGGCTTGTGAAATAACAAAAGGAAGTGCAATTTTCTACCTTGGCCCAGGTTTACTTGTATGGGGCCACCACTACTTCTGCCTCCATCTTTTCTTGTGAGTGGGAGTGGAGTCAACACAGTCTAGTAACGC